TCACCAGAGAATGATGTGGTGCATGGCTGTGGCACGAGAATGAGTGTGTGTGCATTGGGCCTATGGCACGAGAAAGTGTGTTGCATGTGGGCCGTTGCACGAAATAGTGTGTGCATTGGCCTGTGTGCACGAGAAAGTGTTGTGTGCCTTGGCCCTGTGTGCACGAGAATGAGTGTGTGGCATGGTGGCCGTGCACGAGAATAGTGTGTGCGTGTGGCCTGTGTCACGAGAATGAGTGTGGTCGTGTGGCCTGGTGCACAAAATCATGTGTGTGCATGTGGGCCTGTGTGCACAAGAATGAGATTGTGTGTGCATGTGGGCCTATGTGCACGAGAGTTCGAGTGGTGTGCACGGCTGTGGCACGAGCTGATGTGTTGCATGGAGCCGTGGCACGGAATGAGTGTGTGGCGTGTGCCGTGTGCACAGAATGGAGTGTTGTCATGTTGCCTATGCACCGAGAAGAGTGGTGTTCCGTGGGCTTGTGCACGAGAATGAAGGTGTGTGCGTGGCCGGTGCACGAGAATGAGTGTGTGTGCCGGTGCCTATGTCACGAGAATGAGTGTGTGTGCATGTGACCATGTGCACAGAAGAGTGTGTGTCGCATGGGGCCGTGTGCACGAAATGAGTGCGTTTCATGTGGGCATGTGTGCACAGAAGAGTGTGTCATTGTAGCCTGTTGCACGAAATGAGTGTTTGTGCGGTGAGCCTGTGGCACGAGAGAGCTGTGTGCGGGAGCCTGTGTCCGAAAAATGTGGTCAGGTGGCCTATGGCACAGAATGATGTGTGTGCATTGGGCGGTGTCACGAAGAATGATGTGTGTGCATGTGGCCTGTGTGCATGATCATGAGTGAGGTGCGTGTGAGCCTGTGTGCACGAGATGTGTTGTCGTGCATGAGCCTGTGTGCCGAGAATGGAGTGTGTTGCATGTGGCATGTGTGCACGAGAATGAGTGTGTGGCAGTGGGCCTAGTGCACGAAATGCTGTTTGCAGTGGGGCTTGTGCACGAAATGTGTGTGCATTGGGGCCTGTGGCATGAGAATGAAAGTGATGTGGTGTAGCCTGTGTGCACGAGAAAAGTGTGTGTGCATGTGGCCGTGTGCACGAGAATGAGTGTGTGTGCGTGTAGCTTTGCACGAGAATGAGTGTGTGTGCGTGGGGCTGTCACGAGAATAGTGAGTGTGCGGGGCCTTGTGCACGAGAAAAGTGTGTGGCAGTGAGCCTGTGTGCACGGAATGATGTGTTTCATGTGGGCCGGTGCACGAGAAATGAGTGCGTGTGCATGTGGGTGTGTGCACAAGAATGAGTGTGTGTGCGTGTGGAGCTGTTGCACGAGAAGAGTGTGTGTGCGTGTGAGCCTGTGGTGCACGAGAATGAGTGGTTTGCATGGGCCTGTGTGCACGAGAATTGAGTGGGTGTGGCGTGTGGGCCTGTGTGCACGAGAATAGTGGAGTGCGTGGCCTGTGACAGAATGAGTGTTGTCGCATGTGCCTGTTGCACAAGGAGATAGGATGAGTGGCGTGTGGCGTGCCACGAGCAATGAGTGTGTGCGTGTGGCCCGTCTGCACGAGAAGAGTATGGTGTGCGCGGTGACCTGGTGCACGAGAATGAGTGTCGTGTGCATGTGCCTGTGTGCACGAGAATGGTGTGTTGATGTGAGCTATGTGCACGAGAATGAGTGTGTGTGCAATGTGGCCTGTGGCACGAGAATGCTTGTGTGCATGTGAGCCTGTGTGCACAGAAATATGGTGTGCATGTGGCCTATGGCACGAGAATGAGTGTGTGTGCAATGGGCGTGTGCAACGAATGAGGGGTGTGGGCAGTGGCTGGTGCACGAGACTGATTTGTGGCATGTGGGCCTGGTGCCACGAGAATGAGTGGTGTGCATGTGGCTGTGTGCACAGAAGAGTGTCGTGTCATGTGGGCCTGTGTGCACGAGAATAGTGTTGCCATGGGCCTGTGTGCACGAAATGAGTGTGTTCATGGGGGCGTGTGCACGAAAGAAGTGTGTGTGCCTGTGGCCTGTGGGCACGAGAATGATGTGTTGCGTTGGCCTGTGTGCACGAGAATGAGTGTGTGTGCGTGTGGGCCTGTTGCACGAGAAAGAGTGTGTGTGCGTTGGCCTTGTCACAAGAATCAGTGGTGTGCATGTGGCCTGTGTGCACGAGAATGTTGGTGTGCAGTGAGCCTTTGCCAAGAAGGTGGTGTGCATGTGGCTATGTGCACGAGAGTGAGTGTGTGTGCAGTGGGCCTGTGTGCACGAATGATGAGTGTGCATGTGGCCTGTGGCACGAGAATGAGTGTGTGGCTGTGGGCCTGTGTGCACGAGAATGAGTGTGTTGCATGTGGGCCTGGTGCACGGAAATGAGTGGTGTGTATGTGGGCCGTTGTTCCGAGAATTGAGTGTGTGTGCTGTGGCCGGGCACGAAATGGTGTGTGCGCACGTGCCCTGTTGCACGAGAATGGTGTGGTGGCGTGTGGGCCTGTGGCACGAGAATGAGTTGTGCATTGGGCCCTGTGTGCACGAGAAGATGGTGTGCATGTGGAATTGTGTGACGAGAAGAGTGTGTTGCTGTGAGCGCTGTGGCATGACCAATGAGTATTGCATACGAATCAGTGTGTGCATGAGAATGTGGTGCATGCTGAGCCATGTGTGTATAGGCCTAGGAATGTTGCATGTGAGCATGTGCACATGTGTGTAATGAGGAATGTTTGTGCATCCAGGCATGTGTACATGAGAATGAGTGTGTGTGGGCAGTGTGACGTGTGTGCAGGTAGTATGATACATGTGTGTCATGGAATTGAGCATGTGTATTGTGCACTGTGAATGATAGATATGTGGTGCATGTATGCAGTGTGTGGCGTGAACATGTGACATGAATGAAATTGTGTGTAATGTGTATACAAATAGTGTGTGTGAGTATGCCTTGAAATGTGTGTGGCATATGTGGCGTGTGTGTGTATTGTACTGGAGCATGTGTGTGTTTGTATGTGTGTGTGCATGTGAGGGTGCACATTATTATATGTACATGTGTGAGTGTGTGCACATTGCAGGCATATGTGTGCATTGGTGTGCATGCATGTATGTGTGTGTGTATTCATGTGCATGTGGGTATGTGCATGTATGCATTTGGGCACTGCATGAACATGTGCACGTGAGTATGTATGTGTGTGTCAGTGAGTTTCCTGCAGAAAAACGATCCTCGGATAGAATTTCATCACGATCTTCCTGTGCCCCTGGCAGTGGCCACGTTTTTGTCACAGTGCCGTGTTCTGGAAACCCCAAGCTCAGTTCAGCACACTGCAGGCACTGCCTTCCCCCCGACAGCAACCTCACCTGTGTTCCAACCGGACATGCATGTCACCAGACAAGGGGATTTTTCAAAACTTGGTAGATATAGAAGCCCCAGACACTGCCCCCAGGGGCCCACGAGGAGGGAAGAAGTCTCTGCAGACAGGGGTGACTCTGTCCACAGAAAGAGACAGTATAGACAGTCCAGGCAGGGCCGTAGCCTCTGTGGGGGGCAGAGTGGCTCTCCAAATGGAGGTGACTTCTGCACAGGTGAGACAGAGGTGGGTGTTTGGAACACGAACCCCTGAATCCTCAGAGTGGACAGTGGCAGACCTAGAAAACAAACCGTTGGCCCGGACAGCTTCCCTGTCCTACAATGACACGCCCTTAGGGGCGCGTGGGAAGGTCTGGGGTTGGATACACTGAGCACATTTCCCAAAAGTACCGTGTTTCCCTGAAAACAAGACAGGGTCTTATATATGTACTTTTCCTCAAGAAGACACCCTAGCTAGGGCTTATTTTCAGGGGGTGTGTCATTTTCCCCTCAAAGCCTCAGCCTGCAGCATGCACAGGACGGCCGGGACCCGACAGGGGGAGCTGACCTTGTTGGTGGGGCTGCCCGCACCTTTCCGGTCACCTCTGGGATAGTCGCTGTCACGATGGGGCGGATGAGAAGGGCTGCTCGTGTTCTTTCCCGCTCTGCGACCACACGCACGGGTTGTGCAGACGCGCTGCGCAGCCACGCCCATCACTAGGGCTTATTTTGAGGGTGGGGCTTCTATGGTGCAAATGCTTGAAAATCCTATTAGGGCTTATGTTATGCGTAGGGCTTATTTTGGGGGAAAACATGGAACATTGCAAGAAATAAGCTCCTGAACATTTTTCATGGGGGCTTATGTTATGGGTAGGGCTTATTTTTGGGGAAAACATGGAACATTGCAAGAGATAATCTCCTGAACATTCTTCATGGGGGCGGTAAGAAGTTACGAGGGAATCCCATTGCTTCCTGCATCGCTGAACTCCAGCCATGGGGTGGGGCATGTTCCCGCAACTCCTGAGTTCCCAGGGTGCCTGGTACTTCCATCTGGGAGAAGACACCCCCGGGGGGAACCGGCTCTCAACGCCGAAAAGCAGAGCGTGTTGTGTTCCAAAATTGTCACCTTCTGCTGCAGTAAAACACCCAGTCTGCGAAACACTCTTTTTATGCCTTCCAGGCTTCTCTTCGAACCGTATGTTCCCGCCGGGCACGCGGCCACAGCCCGTGACTGCCCCGCTCCTCCCTTGCGTGTAACCCGCCTCGTGGAGGCGAAACCGAGAACAATTTTACCATGCCGAAACGTTTCCCGTAATTGCTAAATATCGCCTGTTTAGCACGCAGAAGCAGAGCAATCGCGCGTCTGCTCCAAGGCAGCTAATACACGCATTCCGGTTTGAGAAAGAGCGCGGTGACTTACGGCACATGCACGGCGGGGACTTCGAGATGCGTCTGCTCAGCGCGACGCATTGACCCGCGATCCGCATGCAGCCGGCTTGGGTGTGTCGTCAGCACCCGCTACAAGGAAAGCCGACCCGTGCCTGCGTCCTGCACGTTTCTCCACGCAGCCGTGAGCGCGCCCTGCCGCGCCCGGCTCTTCTCTGTGCACTCCGGGGATGGCGTGTCCTCTGCTCCGAACACGGACTCACCCCAGTCTTCCCTCCCTTCTTCCCACAGACCCCCGAGGAGGGCGCCTGGACTTCCGTGTACGCCGCGGTGGCCCCGCAGCTGGAGGGCGTCGGCGGCCGCTACCTGTACAACGAGCGGGAGACGGCGTCCCTCAAGCTCACCTACAGCCTGCGGTTGCAGCAAGAGCTGTGGGCCGCAAGCTGTCAGATGGCCGGTGTTCTCGGCGGGACCCCAGACGCCGCCGCCGCCTCCTCCTCGAGCTAGTCCGGAGCACGCTGCTCGCTCTCAGAGCCCCGGGGAGGACCACGGTGCCCGCGTCTCTCACGCCCACCGGCCCGCCCTCGGGCTCTGCCCTGCAGCCTCGAGCCGGCCCCGCTTGATTCTCTGCAAGAATTGAAGGAACTCAGGAAACCCGGAGGGCGACCTCCCCCAGCTGTTCCTCAGCCAAAACCCTTGTCCTGCTCCCAAAGTGCCAAGCAGCGGTCACAGGTGCCTTCGATAATTAAACCTTCACACCAAATCGTGCCATTCTCCTTGCTTGGCGCGGAGGGGGCGCGGAGGGCTGGGGACATGAGTTCCGGGGGAGAGGTGACCTCTTTGCGGCCATTGCAACCATCCCGCCGGGGGCTGATAGGGTGGTCCCCTGTGTTGTTCTGTTCCTGCACTAAGTCGTTCTTCCAGAGGCCCGGGCAGGAGTCCCAGGCCCCCTGCACTGAGAGAGGTGAGCCTCGCATCGGTTTTGCGTGTGCAGTCCCCGCCAGGGTGGACCTTAATGAAGAGAGGCCCAGTCGGTGGGAGCTGCCTGGCGCTGTCAGATCAGAGATGGGCATGCCGTGTCCCAGCTACACAGGGGATTGCAGAGGGCAGGGGACTAGGGCAGTGTCCAGACAGTGGTCGCCCTGGGAGTCTCTAGGACAGGGATGAGGGCAGCACCTGGACAGTGGTCACTGTGGGAGTCTCCAGGACAGGGACGAGGACAGGACATGCACAGTGGTCACCACTGGATTATCCAGGACAGGCATGAGGGCAGCACCTGGACAGTGGTCACTGTGGACAGAGGAGAAGTCTACTTGCCTGGTTGCCTACTCACCATGCAACATCCACAGGTGTCCTCTCTCTTAGGCTCTGCCACATTTGATTATTTTCCGTGAGCACCTGCTCTTACGCTTTTCCTGGTGACATGTTGAGGGGCTGGGTTATTTGTCAGTGCGTGACACGGACATAACTATAATCATCGCATTCAATTTACAAGGCTGCCCTCCTGGTTGACACGGACCCAGTCCAGTAGGACCTTCTTTGCTGGACGTTTTCTCCTGACACCTCTGCCCCTGCAGGTGCTGGTACCTCTCCCACCAGGAGCACAAAGCCTGTTCTCCATCCCTGGGGTTGGGCGAATGGCGTGGCCGTCCTTTGGGGCTCAGCCATCGACTCTATAACGGAAAGTTGGTAGCCTCGGGAAGGTACGTCCACGTCCAAACCTTCAGAATGTGTGACTGTGGCGTTATTTGGACAAAGAGTGCTTGCAGATGCAATTGAGGATTTTGAGGTGAGGAGATCACCCTGGATCATGCAGGTGGACGGACCCAACGTAACCACAGGGGTTCCCATGGGAGAAAGGAAAGGGAAGACAAGATGTGTTCACTGAGGCAGAGATTGGAGTAGTGAGGCCACAAGCGAGGCAATTCCTGGAGCTAGGAGATCCTGCAAATGGCAAGAAGGACATTTTTCCAGTGCGGCCCCCAGAAGGAGCTCAGCACTGCTGACATCTTCATTTTAGTCCTCTGGTCTCCAGAACTTGGGGACAAGAAATATCTATTTTTTTAAACCATCAACAAATTGACAGTAACTTGTTATGGTGGCCATAGGACACTCATATCCCTTATGAAAACTTCACAGAGTTACTGGGCACCTTCTGAGGCTCACCCTTAATCACTCACCAGTCAGGCAAGGATGGCTCGATCCCTTCCTTGATGGGCGTTGGATTCTCAAATTCCTACCCAGAGAGACAAGCCATTGGAAATGCTTTTGGAAGAGTGTTGTGTATCTCCTGCTAAACTGCGCCCTGTTGTGACAGACCAGGGACCACTGGTCAGCTTACTGTCCATTCCCTCGAGTGACAAAATCTCACCAAGCACCCCAAATCTGTGTGGGCTCCCAGCACAGCCATGCCATGAAGTCACAGCCAGCACCGGTTCCTGGGTGGGGTTCACATAGATCTCCGAAACAAATACTTTTTACACCACTGCTTGGTTTTTCTGAAATGGACATGGTGGCCCTCATCTGCAAGTTAACTATCACCTGCCTACTCTTCAGTCTACTTTTGTGTATGTCTGAAAATTTCTATGCTCAAGAGTTAAAATAATAAATGTTGTGTTTGCCCTTTTCTTAAAAAAATAGAATCAGCTATCCCTCTGGAATGGACAGTTGTCTAGCGGCCACTTAAAAAGACATGAAGAAATGTCACTGTTCAGGGTTTTAATACATGAGAAAACAGGGAATGGATTCTCTTTTCGGTTCTGTGCCTTAGAGGCATGGTGCTATTCTCGGCCAAAGCACTCAACTCCAGACTAAATTGCATTGTAAAGATGCTGAAGGTCCTTCCTGGTGTCTGATATCTGCTTCTTCAGCACTGGCACAATTGCTGCCCACTGCCCCATGTCTGAAGAGCGTTCTTCTGGCCACGAGAGAGTTGGCATTGTGGATGTGTCATTTCTGTGGCAGCGCTAGAGATAGAGTGTTAAGTTTTCCAGGTGGAGCCTTGAACCACAGGACACTGTGGTCATGGTACTGTCTCAGATGACATGCAGCTGCCCTCCTGGACACATGGCCCGTTGTATGGGAGATATCTATGACCTCTCCAAGGTCAGCAGAGCTGACTCGCCAGGTGACCCATGGCAGCCACGCCTCTTCATTTTCACATCCAGTGTTTACTAATGTCATCCTCTTCATTTCCTCCTCCTGGTCACCTGGAAAGCAGAGAGGCCACTTCTGTCCCTCGTTGCTTTTCTTTGCCTCAGAAGAAAGAGAGTAGAAAATAGTCTAGAGGGGTTATGTTCCAACATGTTGTGTTAGACTCTGAAAAACACCATTTACTCATCCATTCATTCATCCACTCATTCACTTATTCCTCTATTCTAAAATAGAATGGAATAACTATATCCCAGGGATTGTTTTAGTTCCGTTAGATAGCTGGATAGATACATGATAAATAAATAGATGATGGTTGGATAGATAAGATAGATGAAGAGAGATATTAATAGATATAGCTAGGTAGGTAGGTAGATAATAGATTAGATAGATGATAGGTATTGAATTAAAAGCCGCATAGACAATAGATGATGATTGATAGATGATTGATTATTTAGGATAGACAGATGATTGATAGATGATAGGTGAAGATAGATGGATAGATAGATAGTTCAGGGATCAATAAATCTTTTACATCAGGGACCAGTTAATAAATATTTTCATATTTACAAGCTATAGGTCTCCGCTGAAACTACTCAGTTCTGCCATGATAGCTCAGAAACAGCTACAGAGACAGCGTAACCAAGCAGCTTCAACTATTCCAATAAAACAGGTCCCAAGATTTGGCCCATGGACCACAGTTTGTGAACCCTCATTTTAATGCCCTGCACTGTGTGTACATTGTAAGTCCCACATCATGGATGGGGAATTTACCCACAGAAAGAGTCTACATCTCATCCAGCTTGGAGTTCCTGGTAGGACTTAGGTTGGAAACTAAAATGTGTTTATCACCACAGACTGTGATTTCACTTTATAGATGCTTGGATTTCTGTTGTTTCTTTATAGATAACCAGGAACTCTGGGTCATGGATCCACTAGACAAGGGACCCTCCTTGGTGCAGAAGGATGAGCGATCTGGACTTTGTCCCCTGTGATGTCCATTTGAGGAGCTCACCTCCTTGTCCGTGTCCTGCTGGGCTGGGCAGAGCTGAGACCTCAACACCCAGGACTGTCTGTGTGGAGAAGATGAGCTGGAGCCTTTGCCACGGAAACACACAGACTCTGTGCAGGACATCTGCTTAGGTAATTGATGTCCCACAACACTTCCCAGGAAAGCCACAAGCTGAACAATGAGACTAACCGACCATCATAACAGGGCCAAGGAAGGAGAGCCTGCCAGCGGTTACAGGGAATGATAGAACTTGAGGATCAGAGATTGCTGAACCCCAACATCCCAGCTGGACTCATAGTGCCATGGGGGGAGGTGAACCCTGACAGCGTGAACCAAGAAGAAGATTTATGGATCTATAGCAGCCTGTACATCACATCTGCTACGTCCTCCTGGGGCTCAAGTGTCTGTGTGCAGATTGGGCAGATGGTTCCTGCTTATTCAGACAGCTCACTGCAGGAGACATCCGAAAGGAGATAAAAAGAAGATGAACTCTTTTGAGACCTCAAGACTGGAAGAACAACCCAGCAGCACAGTATCTTATGCAATAGCAGGGTCCCTCTAGGTAAGGGAGGACAAATTCAGGTCCAGAAGGACAAAGTGTCTTACTGGATGGAGCCACTTGTTGTATTGGAGTCCTCTCTTGCTGGTTCCCTCTACCTACCTCAGTATCTCTCAGTGGGCTGTGGGATTCTAAGGCGTCAGTGAGATGGAGAGCAATTCTCCTGGCCTTTTATCTTTGGAGAGGCTCCTTGTTGGTCTCTCTTGTCGGGGGGTGTCTCACTTGATGTTGTCGTATGTATGCCCATTCAGTCCAAAGGAAGAATGAGAATACCTGGGCTGCTTTCTGTTGCTAGGTCAGGGGGAGGGAAATACTGGTTTGGGTTGTCTTTTCTTCCATCGGGTGAGGGCACATTCAGACAGCTCACTGCAGTCACCCAGGGCCCCCTGCACAGATGGCTGCCATATTGGTTTAACACTCTGCTGCCGCCATCTTGAAATTGTTCATTACGGTTAAACAAGGAGCTCACGTTTTCATTTTGCACCAGGGCTGCATATTCTGTAGCCATCTCTGCCTATACTCATTCTCTCCTCAAGGAAGGGGAGCAAGTCTGCAGCTAGACACCTCCATTCCCCAGGAAGCCCTCTGCAAAGATCTCCCCAAAGCTCCAATAAGGCTAGAGGTTTTTAACTGCTTACTGGGTGAACCTCTGAAAATAACTGATGGTCAGCCCATTCCCAACATAATTCTGGAGTTAATTCTTCTGGACATCAGCATTTATTTAGAGTCTTCCAAGCCATCCTCTTGTTCAGCCAAGTTTAAGATCCCTGGACCTGGGCAAAGGCCAAACACAGCTTCTAGCTTTGGATGTGAGGCAGCACCTCTGACACCTTCCATATGGGATCATCTTAAAGACCTAGAACTGCTCAGAGGTTTTGCTAAGCCCTGGAGCCCAGGCAATTGTGTTTCTGAAATGGAATGACCGCCTATGTTCAACCAAGATCGAGACATGCCCTCATGGGGACATTTCTGAACAGCCAGCACTATGTGCCAAATAGCAGAATCTTGAATTCTAGGAAGATCTCAACCTTTAGCATTTGCACATCACCAAAGAGCCTGCTGCAGCTTGAAGTCATCGCACACAAGTGCCAGCTTCTCTTGTCATGATCACAAAGGGAGCTTTAAGTAAGATTCTCAATGAGGTAGCAAGGTATCTCCTGGCCCAAGCTCTAAGTCTTTCTTTATTGCTGAGAAAACAAGCACACTGGCAAGTGGCAAATGCCACAATCCTGAGGCTTGAAGAGATGGGCTCCGAGACCAATTAAAGTCTTGTACAATGCTGGCCTCTGAGTGTTCCTCTGTGTGACACGATAACCCTATGTCACTGTTCCTCCATGGGAAACAGCGAACATGATTCTGGAGAAGTTAGCATGTGCTCCATGACGCCTGCTTGCACAATTCCTTGGAGAGAGGGGACACTTTCCAGCAGCCAGAGAAATAGCATGGATTGCTGGGTGAGTAGAGCTGGATGCATGGCATGATGGAGGTCTGGGGGCCTGGGGTTAGGCCTGAAGCTGATGTTATGAGAGCCATTGGTGCTTAGTACATCCCAAGGTAGGTGTGTTTATTTGCTTTGGCAAATCTTGATTCAGGATTGGACCTATGATGCATGTGTTTCCCTGTGAAGGGAAATGTATGGGACCACTTCATTCATTCATTTATTTATCCATCCATCCATCCATCCACCCACCCATCCATTCATCCATCCATCCATCCATCCATCCATCCACCCATCCATTCATCCATCCATCCATCCATCTACCCATCCATTCATCCATCCATCCATCCATCCATCCATCCATCCATCCATCCATCCATTCACCCATCCACCCATCCATCCACCCATCTATCCATCCATCCATCTGTCTATCCATCCATCCATCCATCTGTCCATCCATTCCCCCATCCACCCATGCATCCATCCATCGATTTGTCCCATCCATTCATCTATCCATCCATCCATCCATCCATCCATCCATCCATCCATCTATCCATCCATCCACCCACCCATCCATCCATCCATCTATCCATCCATGCATCCACCCACCCATCTAAGCATCCATCCATCCATCCACCCATCCACCCATCCATCCATCCATCTATCCATCCATCCATCCATCCATCACCCACCCATCTATGCATCCATCCATCCATTCATCCATCCATCCATCCACCCATCCACCCATTTATCCATCTATCCATCCAACCATCCACCCATCCATCCATCCATCCACCCATCCACCCATTCGTATCCATCCACACATCCATTCACCCATCCACCCATCCACTCACCCATCCATCCATCTATCCATCCATGCATCCACCCACCCATCTAAGCATCCATCCATCCACCCATCCACCCATCCATCCATCCATCTATCCATCCATCCATCCATCCATCCATCACCCACCCATCTAAGCATCAATCCATCCATTCATCCATCCATCCATCCACCCATCCACCCATCCATCCATCTATCCATCCAACCATCCACCCATCCATCCATCCATCCACCCATCCACCCATCCATCCATCCATCCATCTATCCATCCATCCATCCATCTATCCATCCATCCATCCATCCATCACCCACCCATCTATGCATCCATCCATCCATCCATCCTTCCATCCATCCACCCATCCATCCATCCATCCATCCATCCATCTATCCATCCATCCACCCACCCATCCATCCATCCATCTATCCATCTATCCATCCATCCACCCATCCACACATCTATCCATCCATCCATCTATCCATCCATCCATCTATCCATCTATCCATCCATCCACCCATCCACCCATCCATCCATCTATCTATCCATCCATCTATCCATCACTCACCCATCTATGCATCCATCCATCCATCCACCCATCCACCCATCCATCCATCCATCCATCCACCCATCCACCCATCCATCTGCACATCCATCTGGCTATCTATATCTATCCATCCATCCATCCATTTATCCATGCATCCACCCACCTATCTATGCATCCACCCACCCATCCATCCATTCGTTCATCCATTTTCCAACGAATAAGTGTTAAGTATTACTACTCAGCCAGATTCCGAACCACACACTGGTACCCAAAGTTAGATAGGACGGAGCTCCTGCCCTAAAGGAACTGGAGTCTGTGGTAGGCTGAGAAGGGGGCCCCAAAGATAGCAGATCCTAATTCCTAAAACATGGGAATGTCACCTCATGTGGTAACAAGGACTTGTAGCAGGAAAGTGTGAGCTCAACAGAGGCTTGCCAATGTGGGACACATCCCAGTTAGAGGCATGTCTAGATGTCACCTGCAAGGGGTCTTTATTATGAGCACATGGGTGGGCATTTCTCCTCTTGGCTGTCAGGAGATACAGCCCCTGTTTGGAGTGCCCTGATTTTCCGAAGGCAAGACAAGTCGGGAGCCTGGATTGGGGGAGTCTGGATGGACCCTGGATCAGAGACAGGATGCTATACCTGTTGCCCCATTTGGGCTGGGTCTAGTGCAGTACCTCATCTTGCGTTGGGTGCTGTTGTTGAGCCGTGTGGTCTCTCTCTTTCTGATCCTCCCACGTCCGATGATGATTCTAGCACAGGTTCCGTGCACGCTCAGGCTTCCCACGAGGCTGGGAAGGCTGACGTGTTCAATGGTCAGAACTAAATGGACGCCACCCATGGTTTGGGGTTCAGGTTCTCACTGGTTTTGCTGTTCAAGAAGAAACCTCCACTGGAATTGTGATTCCTGCCGTTTGAATATCAGTATCCCAGGAATCGGGGAGGGCATCTGTATGTAGTAAAAACCTTCGGAACTCTGGTCTCTTGGGTTCTCTTCGACAAGGCACCATCTTGGGGTCAGCAGTAGACATTTCCCCCATCTCAGAAGTTTATTGCTTATTTATCATTTTTAGTGGGATATCTATTGCCTATATTTCTTCTCTCTCTCTCTCTTTTTTTTAATAAGTCTTTTGCCTTCATCCTGGGATGTGTTGTCTAATGTCCTGATTTGATACATTTCTTTTTTTTAAATTTTCCATTCTTCTTCTTATTTTAGTTTTCTAATTTGTAGTTGTAGCATTCAGCGCCTGCTCCATTCCCTTCTGATCACTGGTCACTTGGGCTGCGTTTTACAGACCGGAAATGCAGTTGTCGTTTTCGTTTTTCCTCTTTAACCAACAGATTGTACTTCACGGTGGATTTGAGCACGGCCAAATGTACAGAATTCAAGAGCGTTATTTTTGTTCTGTTATTATGATACACCTTGTATGGAGCTGGAACCATCACCCCTGCCAGGAAAGGGATTATAGGATGGAAGGTATCTCCCGAAACACCCAGTGACAATGACACGCTTGGCCCTTTTCCGATCAACGGCTTCTCAACAACACTCCCGGGCAGTTTAGGAGTTCTGGGCCAGTGCAAGAGAGAGAGAGACAGGAGGGGGTGGGGAGGTGAGGACCACATATGCACCTGCAGGCTTCCCGGGGAATGCACTCCCTCCCTCGTCCCGCAAAGCATGAATGTCTGTGGGCGTGCACGTCATGACGTGTGCACGTGATGGATACCACGTGTGCACCACAGACAAAAACGTTTTAAAGCGATGACGTAAAAATAAATGTCAATAGCACTTGCAACATTTCATTCCTGACTCTCTTGGAGATTGTGCAATGCTTTTCCACCCGGACATCTTTTTTTGCATTAAAACAAGTTTAACGGTGGCAACATAGGCATCATCGTCGTGCAACTGGTGCCGCCGTGCATTCCCAGAACTTTCATTTTTATCTTGCAGAACTCTGAAACTGTGTCCCCATCACTCACTCACTCCCCGGCCCCTGCAGCCGCCGTTCCTCTGCTCTCCGCCTGTGTGAATTTGTCTGCTCTCGCTGCCTCCTAGAAGCGGGGGTCGTGCCGTGTTTGCAATTTTACGACTGGCTGATTTCGCTTAGCATGACGCCCTCCAGATTTACGCATGTGTCAGCATCTCCTGTCTTGGGTCGGGTAGCATCCCATGGTCTAGATTATTGAGAACATTCCGTCATCCCCTCGGGGAACTCCTTATTGCCCGCCGCCCGTGGGCAGTCAGACCCTGTCCTTCAGCCCTAACCCTGGGCGACCACGGCTCTGTTCTCCATCCTTCCACTGTCCTTGTCCACAAAAATCGCATCGGTGACTTCACGCAGGGTGTGCCTCTTTGAGACCCTCATCTTTTCACGTAGCAACGTGCACGTGACGTGCGGCCAGGTTTTTGCACGTGAAGCAACGGCCTCTTGCTTTTGTTAACCTCCCCGTTCCTGGAGTTGGGCAGGATATTCACCTTGCAAAACTGGCGTGCCCGGTGGCAGGGTGTAGCTACAGTGCAGGCTGCCTTCAGTCGGCAAACGCACCCTGCGTGGAGCGAGGGGCCGGCTCCCCTGCCCTTCGCTGTTGCCGTTGACGGCTGCTCGCTCGCGTTTGTGCAGCTCTGGTTTTGAGCATGGGGAGGCGCGTCCCAGCAGCTATCCGCACACCCAGCCCCTGCGGGGCCGTTCCCAGGGGCGCTGTTCGCGGCGTTTCCGGGGAGTAGCCGTATCCACCTCGCCACGCCACTCACATTTCTCTTCTAGAGCCCGGTGGGGCCCGGGCTGCCCCAGGGATGATTGATAGACATTATACGGACCGTGGAAATGAGGCAGAGGGACCCTGTGTTCTCCCTCCACACCTTCCCTGTGCCCCGCCTAACCCGTGACCCTCAGCAGTGGCAACCTTGTGTGACTTAACTGTCGGTTATAGGTTATTGATCGGGGCTCCCACTCCATACAGCTGTCACCTGTATAACTTAACTATCAAGTATAGGTTATTGATTAGGGCTCTGATCCCACAAAGCTCTCTGTGCACTTGCATAAGTTACGTATTTATTATAGATTATTGATCAGGGCTCCGACTTCATAAAGCTCTCTTTGTGCACTTGCATAAGTTATCTGTCGATTATGGATTATCGATTAGGGCTCCGACTCCACAAAGGTCTCTGTGCACTTGTATTAATATAACTTAGCTATCGATTATAGATTATTGATTAGGGCTCTGACTCCACACAGCTCTCTATACACTTGCATAACTTAGCTATCGGTTATAGGTTATCGATTACTGCTCCGACTCCACAAAGCTCTCTGTGCACTTGTATCAATACAACTTAACTATCGATTATAGATTATCGATTAGGGGTCTGACTTCACAAAGCTCTCTGTGCACCTGTGTAAGTTAGCTATTGATTATAGATTGTCGATTAGGGCTCTGACTCCATAAAGCTGTGTACTTGTA